TAGTTGCCATCGCTGCACTAGCTATTGCTGCTAGCACTTTTTTCACGTTATGGTCATGGATACGTTGCTAGACCTGTGCCTGCGAGCACCATGCGCACCGTCAGTGTGATTCCTGTAAGTTTCAAGTACAACGCTTCCGAGAGACTGAGCCCTAAACCCTAAATCCCCAATTCCTGGGTTCTTGTGAATTAAGGGATTTGAATACATAAGGGATTCAAATATAAGTTACCATAATAAGGAAACCCGATCATGATTTACTATAGACCCCTATTATGGTAACTTAAATTAAGCACCCTAAACCCCTAAACCCTAAACCCTCTTAAGCAGATCCTTTAAAAAAAGAGCCCAGATTCCACCCTAAACCCTAAACCCTAAGCCCTACATCCTAAGCCCTAAGCCCTACACCCTAAGCCCTAAACCCTAAGCCCTAAACCCTAAACCCTAAGCCCTAAACCCTAAAGCCTAAAGCCTAAAGCCTAAACCCTAAAAAAGAACCCAGATTCGCTCTATTAACCCCCGCAGGCCTTTAGGAGCCCCTGAGACATCCGGAACGGTCCGACATCGCCGAAATCCAAAAAAAAGGGGAGTTACGATTAGAGTTGAGTTTAAGGCTTAGGGTTTATAGGGTTTAGGGTTTATAGGGTTTATAGGATTTAGGGTTTAGTGTTTAGTGTTTAGGGTTTAGGGTTTAGGGGTTTAGGTTTTGGGATTTTTAGGGCTTATAGGGTTTATAGGGTTTGTAGGGTTTAGGGTTTAGTGTTTAAAGGGGTTGAAGGGTGTCGGTGTGTAGGATCGCTGCTTCATTTAGGGACTACAAGGGGGGTAGTGACTCCCCCCCCTCTCCCTTGTAGTCCCTAAAATGAAAGAAGCGATCCTACACACCCGGCACCTTCATCTACCCGGTGTGGTTGATGGTTCAGACTTCGACATTACATTACCTAAATCTTCAAGACTGCCTTAAAGCCTTAAAGCCTTAAACCCCAAACTACCGTCTTAGGGGGCTGGGTAGGTAAATAAACCTTACACCCTAAACCCTAAGACCTAAAGCAGAAGCCCTAAACCCTAAACCCCACCCCAACCCCTAAACCCTAAGCCCTAAACGCCAACCTTTTTGGGGGGGGTCCTTGGGGTATCAGCCCCGACCTGGACCCTGAAATAATCGACTTTTTTCAAGGACATCCATAAGGAAAATCATACCAAGGAACCCTGAAAAAGGGGCTTAGAGTTGATAGGGTTGACATGTTTTAGGGTTTAAGGTTTAAGGTTTAGGATTTAGGGGTTAGGGGTTAGGGTTGATAGGGTTTAGGGTTTAAGGTTTAGGGTTTAGGGGTTTAGGGGGTTAGGGTTTTAGGTTCTGTAGGGCTCAGGTAAGCCGTACGCCCAGCCGAGGAGGCCGCAGATGTGAAGATCTCCGTGGTGGAGGCTCGCTGGATTTCTTCAGTAGGAAGCCTCCAAAGAAGCCTCACAGGATGCTAGGGGCTTAGGGTTTGCAAGCAAGGTTTAGGGCTTTGGGGCTTAGGGGTTATAGGGTTTAGGGGTTTAATTTAGGGGTTTAGGGTTTAAGGTTTAGGATTTAGGGTTTAAGGTTAAGGGTTTATAGGGTTTAGGGTTTATAATGTTTAGGGTTTAATGTTCAGGGTTCAGGGTTTAGGGTTTATAGGGTTTAGGGTTTATAGGGTGTAGGGTTTATAGGACTTATAGCGGTTATAGGGTTTATAGGGGCTTAGGGTTCAGGGTTTAGGGTTTATGGAGCTTATAGCGTTTATGGGGTGTATAGAGTTTATAAGGGTTAAAGGGGTTATGGGGGTTATGGTGGTTATAGGGTTTATAGGGTTTAGGTTTAGGATCTGCTTTGAAAGGTTCCTCTTCAGGGTTCTGTAAGTGCAGCATAAGGTTCTGGATTTATCCGTCCATGTACCCAGGGTTTCTTTAAGGGGTTCCCTAAGCAGCTCTATATTTCTATACAGGTACCATTGGGGTTTAGGGTTCAGGGTATGTATAAGGGTTCATGTACCCAAATACTAAAAACTTTGACCCCGAAGTACTTAGGTAGGGACGACTGTAAGACCAAAGTTGGGTTCAGGTAGTACATAGCCCAGAGGTTCCAAAGATACTACCACTATGTCACTATGGAATGAGGCCCTAACAGACTATCCTAATCATGGTTTCAGGGACTTGTTTCGCCTTGATTCCATAATAGTAGTATGTGTGGGCTGTCTTGGTTGGGGTCAGGAAGAAGGAATACGATATTCCCGCCTTTGATCCTCAGAATACTTACAGTGCATGACACCCCCCAAATCCTGTTCTGATTCTTCAGGCTCCTATGTGATTTGCAGAAGCTGACTCACGAATGTCCGAAATGACCCCGATGTCCCTCCGTTTCCAGGGCTCTCAATTTAGGGTTTAGGGTTTAGGGATACTGTTGAGCTCATACTACGGTTGATGACATAAATCCTGAAT